CTTTGGCAAGGTTTGTAAGGAGAGGTAGTGCCCTGTATTACCATCAACTGATGCAGCAGCCAGGGAACCTTCAGTATTTATTTGCTGAACGCTAGCAACCCCTAGTGTTCAGAACATATTTCTCTTCCTTCTTTCTAAACCTGTGGTACCAGAGCTGTTCGTTCAAGGACAGAGTATTGTTCATTTTTTTCCCTTCCTGAAGTAGACGCATTTTCAACCCATGTGACCAGAGATCATAGGTATATCTCTGCTCTCGGGAACAGAAAAAAGCGTGCTCCAATTACCTTAGCAGCAAATATTTTGGTTCCAAAGAGAGGCCATTTCCGGGCCACTGTCAAATAAATTCGAATGCATTCTGGTGGAGAGCATCCCTGCAGCACCATCCACTTCGTCGCCAGCTTGTCAGCCAGTTGCCTTTCAGAATCCAAGACAGCATTATTTACTAATGTCTTCCAAGGAAAGGTGAGTAAAATCAACAGTTAATAAACCTACCTCTTATTCCAAAAGTGCTGTTCTACACAGCACTATGGACAGGGCTGTTAGCACTGTCAGTTAGAAGGGTTGTACAACCTGAGCCTATTTTAGCATTTTCTCTACTTCCACAATTATTTTACTACTGGTTATACTGTAATGCCCAGGAATCCCAGTCACATATGAGTTGCTCAGTGGTGTATATATTAAACAGCTGTAACTACAAACACTCAGGCAGTTGTTACAGTAAAATCCTGCCCCGCTTGTCTTCACCTTCAATTATACTCTCACCTTCATCTTAGCTTGTCCCTATTGTGCTCTATATGGAGTGGCAATATATATTAACTCACTCTTGATTTGGCTCACTAGGGATGGTTTGGCAGCTATCTTGCTACATGCAGATGGAATTTGCTTCCAAAAGGAGGTAATTGTGTTAGTTCCACCACTGCATCCTTAAGTAGCTTTGGATCTGGAAGATGACCATTCTCTCTCTTTAAAACAGTCAGAGCCGAGATCCATGGCAGCATCTGAACTCTGTACTTGATATCTCTGCATTGTGTGTGAGAATTTCCAAGTCAGAACATCAAAAAGCCCTGCCAAAATATGTTCTACCAGAATTACTGCATGGCCTGAAGCAGCCCAGATGTGCTGGCTTTATGGCTCATTGCAAATGTTAGGCATATGGATTCAATTGACGCTTGGGGGAAGGGTAAAACGAAAATTCAGAAACAGAATTCGTCTTAGGCTTAGGTTAAAGTTTGTTGGAATTGAGATGCCTCATTTGGAAGTGAAAGGCTTAAACTTCTTGTGTTGGGGAAAATTAGTTGGCAATTTGGCTCTTTTTATATTAGTTAACTGCTATTTTCTTTTAAAGGAACCTTTTCTTGACAGTTGTGTTTTGTTTAAGTTTCTACATCAAATAATCTTGACAGGGGTCCTTGAAACTTCTTAAATATAAAGACAGAATTTTGCAAGTAAAAGTTGTTTTCAGAGCAAAGTATAGAAGAACCAACAATTTACCTGAGCTTTTCAGGAGTAATGTTTTGCTTGTAGTGTTTGGGGTAGAATTTATCTAAGACCTGGTGGAGAAGATGTTGCATTTTCGATTGTGATGTTCCCCCAGGACTTGAAGATCCCGGTCGATCCAAATCCCCATATTCCACCTAAGATAACATTACAGTTTATAGTGCAACAGAACTATGGGGTTTTTAGTGTAGTAGAACATTCCATGAAACCACATACCAATAACTACTGTGTTCCTTAGTCATGCAAAAAACACCATTAGCTTGGGGAATTCTGTCTACAGCATTTACCATAATAGTAAACGTATACAACAGAGCAACTACCGAGGACATGACTGCCCAAGGAATTCTTTACTGATCTAAGAAAGTGAAACAAGATCTCAGCCAGCTACTTGTTGTAGGGAGGCACTTCTGTGCAACTGCAAAGATTTTCCGGTTTATTTTCAATTGGTCAATTAGAACAGCAGCATATTTGTAAATAGTTTGGACAATGTTCCCAGTGTCTTCATCTCAGTTTACATTGCTTTAACAAATGCAACAATCATTTTCAGCTCAGTAAGAAACTATTATCCTGTTTATCATGCCCACAATGCATACTGTGTGTTTTACGTGGTAAAATGCTAAATTCAAGCCTGGAGGTCTAATGCAGGATCCTGCAAGATGCTCTTCCTGAGTAAAAGGCTCTTGGCAGTGCAACAGGCAAAGTTTTTACTATTAATGGAATCCTAGTAGTGATACTATTTCCATATTTCTACTAAGGCACTAATTGGAGCAGTTCTGGGGATAGTCCAACCTCACTGTTTTTTCCAGTATTTTTCTTCAAAAGGAAAGGAGAGGCACTCCTATAGCAAATTTCCCTAAAAAGGTGTTCTAACAACACATGTATGCTGGTCTAATGTGTTTGGCATGGTACATCTCACACTGTATGTTTGATAAGAAAACCCACTTTCAATGTAAAAGATAGCTGCTTAGTCAAAGATATTCAGTGTACAGCTGAAGTCCCTGGAAGACAAAAGGGAGGATTTCTGCCCAGAGCCATACTCACCTGAGCCATCAGAGCCACCATTTCCAGAGCTAATTCCTTATTAACAGGAAACCTTCCATTGGCTATTTCATTGCTGACTTGGAAGGCCAGTAGCAACCGCTCACGGTCTGTCTCGCCTTTGGCCTGGCTCCGAAAATATAGCCTAAAAAGTAGAGAGGATTGTGAAGGTAAAAAGATACTGTGAACTGAAAGTAGAGGTGGGTACTTTAATCAAGGTGAGTAAAAATAAAAGTTGATTCCCTCCCCTCTTCTCCAAAGCAAACTTTGTGCATTGAAGGGGTACTGGACAGAGATTTGGAAGATTAAGTGCTCCCCTTATGAACAAGATTTCGGCAAGGAGGCTCAAAACATGCTTTCTAGCTTTGGAAGACATTTGAATTCTGTAAGCCAACCCCTTCAAGACATTGAGGCCTTATTAAACACAGGTAAATCAGTGTCCATCCATCCCCATCAAGCACAGACAGGCCGAATTTAAGATATGGCCTTCTTTGCTTATCACAGAATACAGAATTACCTCTGCTCTACATGTACAAACTTCTACATGGCAGCCTTGTGGACTTGTTATTTTTGCCAGCTTTGTTTTGACCACTTACACTGATACTGTTATTAAAAAAGTCTTCAGTTTGCTTCAGCAGG